GTACATATAGGCACATCCCAGAATTTTGACTTCACTGTGTAATGAAGACATTTTAAAGACTACTTAGCGTGGATAAAAAAGCCTGGATCCCCATGGACAGTATCTTATACAGTACACATATCTTTTTCTATTGTCTTTGTTGATCTCTTGAGGATCCTTGTGATATTTTGAGCTCTCATTGAATGATAAAAGTGTCGCAGTTTAAATAATTTTCGTTGTTAGAAATCATGAAACGCTCTGTTAAAAGCAAGGGAGTTTTTCTATCTGTTATAGTAAAAGAAAATGCCTTACGAAATAGGGATTGAACAGTTTTTCAGTTACAATCGATGGAAATGTTCAAATAAATGTGCTAAAGAAATAAACAAAAAAGTGATTCCTTTATCATATTGGCTAGCTAATGTCCCATCCTTGTTCGTTAGATCAACGGAATGCTGTGGTGGGTGTTACTTTTTGTAGATGAAAAAATAAAGTATTTTCATTTAAAATGACGGTTGCAAATAGTGTGGACCAGCGTAATACTTTGAGTTTTACTGGTGGAGCTCATACAGCTGTGTCTGGATGGTGACAGCTCAGACATGAGAGGTTGAGCTTTATTAGCTCCACCTTGCAGAAATTCAGGATACTATTATTTTATTTGCGGTATCATGCGGCGCTATGCAAGAATATACGGTATTAATACCGTAACTTGTGGTATACTGCGTCAAGCGCACCAGAAAATAATGCGGTATTGCCCACTTGTTTTGAATGGCTGCATCTGTATTTTTTTTCTAAAACGTAAGGTCAAATATAGACAGATATTTTTGTCATAATGTTCATTGATGAAACAAACACTTCATAGTACTATCATTACTAATATCAAAGTTACTAATAACTCAACTGACTTCAGCTTGTAAAATCAATACAGTTTAAAAACATACCTGTTCACGTGAGACGTTTGTAGTGGTGCCATTATTGAGATTATGCTGAGCAATGTTTCCTAATAAGAAGACAAAGAGATAGGATGATCTTATTTTAACCACCCTTGTATAAAATATTAGATTCTTCAAATATTCAACTAAGGTATGTTAAATAGTGTTAAATAAATGAAGAAAAGATAAACATACTTTGTAAAGAATTACCTCTCTCAAAAACAGTAAAGGTAGATTCTGTTTTAAATGGCAATCATTCTTTCACTATATACAGTAGATATAAATCACACACCTCTTCTCACATTTTTGTTGCATTCTTCCTGCTTTCATCCCATCTCTACTTTTGCAGTAACCCTTTGTTCTGTCTGAATGGGGTCTGGGTCTCCTCATCCTATGGCCAGGAAGCTATCTCTTAACAAAACAGTTTAAGGCAAACCTTTACTCTTGACAGCTGGTAAATTGTGGGAATTAGATTTAATATTAGCATTGTCATTGTGATGATGACAAGGCTGTAAAAACTCAGACCCAGACCCAACTTCCATGTTCTGTGTTCAGATCATTGTATCTAACACAAGCAGGTCAAGCCAATGTTTAAGGTCTAATGCTTTCTCAAAGCAAAATTTACAATAAATATTCTGATTGTATGCTAGTATTCCCTTTCAGCTGCAAAGTATTATTATTGAAAATTAAGACAAACTTCCGCAATAAGAGTAATAAACGTGTGTTGATATATTTGGTCCTTTGGTATGAGGAACAACCACCACTTTTTTAATAATCATTTTACTTTTTATCTGGAGGAACTGGGTTTTTATTATTATTATTATTATTATTATTATTATTATTATTATTATTATTATTATTATTATTATTGTGTTGTTATGATAATATATGTTAAATTCGAACCTTCACAGTGTTCACGTTTTCTCTTCCATCTTCCATAGACAAGGACAGAAATCACAGTCACACACACAGCATTAGACACCAGCAAGCCAATAACAAGGGGATCCAGAATCCATCCTGTTTGAGCAGTAACAGAAGATTTAAAAAAAAAAATTGAAAATTATTTTCTAAATCTGAATATATATATTTCCATATAAGGATATAAAAAATGCACATATATATATTACACATTGAACAAAGTATTGAAAATTATTTCAGAATTAACAATTGAATCTTTCTTCAACTGGGCATAATAAACTGTTTCTGAGTACCTTCATTCCATTAGTGAAATGAGTACCTTTACATAATACATTGTGTATATTTTGTTTGCAGTTAACAAATATGTGCTTTTGTACTGAAGTGCTCAGATTTAAGGAGAAAAATCTGAAAGCAGGACAACAGGTAATTTTATTTTTTACACAATAGTTCATTATGACCCCACAAAGATTGAGTTTAATACTTAGGATGTGACGTAAAGATGATTACTTAATTGTTTCTTAATTTGACTTAATAGACTTTCCAGGAATGTATTTATTTTAAGGAAATAAGCCTGGAATACTGTTAATTCAGACAGGAGTAATGTATTAAGCAGAAAATAATATGGAATATAGAAAAAAGGTAATTGATTAACTATTTAAACAATTGAATACAGACAAAAATGGCAGGATATTCATCAAAACAAACCTTAAAGATGTTTTTTTCTGTATTTCTTATGTGTCATCCTGATCAAACTTTTATCAAAACACACTGTTAATATTTCAAATACACCTAAACAATTATAATATATAAAGAGTAACAAATTAGATTAGCTGCCACATTCACATTCGTGTTTTTTCACTAATACCCTGCTATACTAAGCATCTGAGAAAAAATATAAAACAAATTCATTATAATAGAGCAAACATTGAATTGTTTTTTTTTTCTTACATTATTAGCAATGGTATCAGAGCTTAAAATAAACATCTAAGGTATTCATATTCAGTGATGTATGTCCTCTTACATATAAGTAAAGATGCACATACTACAAAGTTATCTTTTAGAAGACCTTTTAAAAGTTTAAAGGCTATCTGTATTAAAACCTAAACATATTATAATAATATTTATTTTCCTTTCACATTTAAGTGAAAGTGTTTAGATTAGTAGTAGTAGATTTGGCTTTCATAATCATTCTAATTAAAAGGCTTAGATACTGGATCCTTCTAAAAAAATAACCCTGTTCTTCTATATTGTGTCGAAGAGTTTGAATTCACCAATGCAGTAATAGAAAAGGGAAAAAAGGTAAATTAAACTAAATCCCTTGAAGGACTGATGAAGTGTTTGAGTAAAAACCTACCTGTAATTTCCAGAAGTGTTCCATTTCCAAACAATAGTCCATCGCATGTGGCCACAGCACAGTAATATGTCCCAGCATCAGAGTGGCTGAGGTTCATCTTGGGAAGGTTATATACACAGCATTGTGTATGAAACCCAACCAGAGAGTTCCTCTCACACTCTTGATCACTCTTACTTCCATTGGTGTAAATTATTTTTGGAAAGGGTTCTTTTGAGCTATTTCTGAACCAATAAACATCATGCTGATCTGGACAGGTCTCAGTGTGTATTGTACACTGCAGAGTCACATTATCTCCTGGCTGGACTGGAACAGACACAAGCTGCTGTGTAACACTCCATCTTATTAACTCTGAACCTGAAATTAAAAAAGTTAATATTGCAGTCTGATGATTATATCATCAAATATTTATATGGGTTATTTTAAGTACATATATTTAGAAATAATCTGAAAATATAGTTATATTGAACTTTGAAAATATACAATTTTCTTATTGCTGTGAAAAAAAAGGGATATTGTATATGATCTATAATTTGCAGGTTGGCTATTGGAGAATTTCATTTTCACATATCACAAGAATGGTGTTAAACTGCTGGGAAGTACCACAGTTTTTGATGTTTGAGTATTAATCATGCTTATTCTAACAAGATACTCTTCTGTATAAAAGGATACTTTCTAAAAACTAATTCCATATTCCACCCAGACAGAATTCATGCAAACATGGGAGGAAAATACAAATTCACACAGCCAAAGAATAATGATTAAAAAAAGAGATTGTTAGATTGTTTCACTTCCAACTGTTTCTATTGGTTCTAGTGCTATTTTTCTTCTATAGTATAAGTCAAGTATATTAGTCTGTGCGGGAGATTAGTATTTTAAGATTAATCCTAAATTTAACTATAATTTACCATGCAAACATAATTAAGTGATAAAAACTGCATCCAGCTATTGCTAGAATAAAAAAATGCTTGAATATTCTAAGATCATTTGAGAATTTACAAAGCTTATTAGATTTAATTTCTGTAATGATATCTACCATTGTACAGAAAAGATACATCAATATTACAAAAAATGCATTTGGTGATGCATTTGTGCAGAAATAAAACTATCATGGTTATCACTAGCCCACAAGTGTTTGGACCAATTTTTTCAGTGGCGTTTTTATTACAACATTCATATTGTTATAGTATCGCATTTGCATACAGTTGTTCAGTTGATCAGGCGGCACTATTTAGAAAAAAAAAACATTATAAGGTAATATTTTAATTTACCCTGTATTTTTAAAAAGGTTCCATTTCCGAAATGCACATGACTGGTGCGTATTATCCCACAGTAATACATTGCTGTATCCGAAGGCTGTGTTCTTGATATCATGAGATGGAATTGTTTTTTGTCATTCTTTACCATAAAGCGTGGATTATCTTTGAATTGGTCATAAAACATTGCCCGTTTTAAATTTGAATAATACATTGCTATGTATTGAGGCTTCTGTCCAATTCTCTGCTTGAGCCAAACCGTATAATCAGCTTTCTCTTTTGACAAGTAACAATGCAGGGTCACCTGGCTACCAAGTAGTGTTGTCTGAATGAGACCAGGCTGTGTAACCTCCTCAGTCTGAGTTAAATCTGAAATGAGAAAAATCTAAAGGATATTACTGAAGCAAGAACAACCTATTGAATCAAAGGTTAAACAGTCTAATATTTTGTAAACTCCTTTTCTGAATTTAGTCTCTTCTGTCTATAAAATGAGCAGTAATGATGAAAATTATTTATATATGAGAGTAAAATTATTTGGTGTTACATTTTAATAGTAACAAATTATTACAATTTTAGCATTTGTGAAAATGTACAGCATATATACTTTAGTAAAGGTGGTAAGGAAGCAGGATTCTACTTACACACACAGAAAAGCATTAGAGTGACACAGAGTCCAATCATGATGGTACTGCTTCATGCCCAGTGTGTCTTGCACACAATGAAAGTTATGAACTGGAATGAAGGATATATTAAAAAATTATCCTTAAAAACAAGAAGATAGGCGGGGAAAACTGGCTGAAGTGAATTGATTGGATGAGGAGACATTCACTCTGGGTTGTTTAATAATTGAGAGAAGAAACACCCACACTCACTCTTAACCTACATTATGGTTTATACTCAGGTTCACCCAAAATTTGCAAAATCAGATGTAATAACCAAGGACATGTCAGAAGTTTTTTTTTTTTTCAATGCTGTCCTTGAAAAGTGTGTTATTAATTGATACAGCTACAATTTACAATTACCACTTACATTACACACTTATTAAAACTCAAAGAATTATATAATATGAATAAAGAGATTATATAGAATCTTCTGAATGTATAAAGTTAAGGAGGATGTGAATGGGGGACTTAAGAAACAATATCATAGTAATTACAATGCCTTTCAAAATTGTTCACCCACATCCAAAGATGCCTTGTTTAGTTGAAGTACTAACTTTTACACATCAGTAAAGTCAATATTTAATATATTAAAATATTAGTGCTTGAATATTTAAAAATTTAATTAAAAATTAAAACTGAATGCTATAAAGGTTAAAATACATTTAAATATCTAAAAGAACAATAGAGAAAAAATTATGCATGATGTGTTTAGGAGAAGAGGTTGAGCAACCTACTAGATAACTGTTAGTTATCTAAGTTAAAAAATGAGTAGAATGTGCTAAAATTAAAAATATATGTCACAGGATGCAGGCCTTTGAAGTAGAAACGGGGTGTGATTAATTGGGCTGTGTTGATGGCCAGGACTGTGTCAATGTTTGCCTCCCCCAAAGTTTTCAACTTCGGGTTTTCTAATGCAGACATTGGGTCAGGGAATAATAGTAATGATTTAAGAACAATTTAGAAACACCCAGGGGTTGCTTAGCCAGTTGAATCAGACCTTGAGCAGAGGGGAGAGCAGGAAAACAAATAAAAAAGTGACAAGAGCCCATGACTCGTAAGGTCTGCACATTCACAGCTCTCAAACACTGTACCTTTTGTTGCTCAAATGACCCAAGCTCCCTCCTGATAATCTACTGGACACTTTCGCCCCTGACAGAGACAGTGGAAAACCCCCTGAGGGGGAGTTGCTAACGGAAAGAATAAAAATATCTGAGCCTGAACAGAGGAAGCTCTCTCTCCTCTGGAAAAGTGGCAGTTGGCAGTGGAATGGAAGTACTGGGGAGAGACGTTTAATACTTGGGGGCAAGGAGCAAAGAAACTGGTCTGGTGAGTCGATACTGAACAAAGGGGAATATAGTGCAGCATACAGCAGGACTCCCGATACAGTCCAAATGGAAACTAGAAAAATTCCCTCTTTTATGTGTGGCTTTTCTTCTCCATACCATCAAGACTTTCTAACGCCCTCTCCTCATCACCTAAAAGCACAGCTGACCCTCAGGAATTCATTGTGACCCTTGGAAGTACCTTTTGTTGCTTTGAATGCTGTTTTCCTTGTGTCTTGTGGTAATGGTAAATGTTGGAGTATTTAGAAAATAAAAAAGGCACTTGTATGATACTAATGCTTGTTGCTGGTCTGTGTACAGATGCAGCCATTCAAAACACGTGGGGTATTTCGGGGTACACCGCGGTGGGCGTGTCGCATCAAAACGCAGTTTCACGCAGTATCATGCGCTGTAACGCGTCATTTGACGTCATACCATAAAGTATCCAGAATCACCTTGTAAAACCGCCAGGAGGAGCCAATAAAGCTTAACCTCTCATGTACAGCATTTGAACTTTTAAATTTAAACTGTGTATTACAGCATGTTAATCATCAGTCATTTAAAAGTTGGTATATTTTATGTAAGCAAGATTGCTCAGTTGGGCAAAAGTACACAACCCACCTTTATCATAAATATTTTAATGAAGCAGAAATATTTGCCTCAGGCATTCATGTGAAGGGCAACAGACCTTTCACTGGCCGATTATCATTATCACTATTATTAATAATGATATTAATTTAAGGGTCTAAATATCTAAAAATATGTATCTATATAGCAGATAGTATCACTGTATTCCACTTTCTTTGTAAACACGGAAGAACAGATTCACAACGCAACGCTGTATCACTGTGTAAAAAAAAAATGGTTTGAACACCCTATATTGTAATAAGCTGCTGAGCTAAGAATAGGAATGTTCCTGCTGTCATAGGGGGTGGAAAGTGCCCGCGGTCATTTAATTAGTATTACAATTCGCACTGATTCCCTTGCGAAAATATGGACATAAGAATATTTGTGCATGGTCAAAAAATGTCATTAAACACTTAAAATTAATATGGTTAATAATAGTAAACTGTAACATGCTGTAACAAGACTGGCTAAACTGGGCAGAAAATGCTTTCAGAGAAAATGTTTCAGGTTTCATAGATCTCCAATGCAATTTCAACCAAACCTGTTCCCATACACCCTGCCCCCACTGCCATTAGAATATACACAAAGCACTGAAATTTTTCAAGCTAATGATCAGGTGACCCGAGAGAGAGCGAGAGAAACACCAAGGGGTGCGGAACCAGGGAACTACTTACATGGAAAATGGGCGATCTCCCCAGACTGTCCGCCCATTTTACTGTTACCTGGATACCTCTTTATTTAGAACTCACTCTCCCCCCTGCCTGTCTGGCTACTTTTAATCCTTCTGTGTCCGGATTGCAGCGGGTAAGATATTTTTCCAAGAAAAAACAGAAATTAAAAAAAGAGAAATTTCACCAGAGCCTCTTCTCTTCTTGTATCTAATTTTTAGTTTAGAAGGAATCAAGCAGGATTTTAGATGAAAGGCAGCAACCTTAATCAAGCCCAAATCATAATTGAACCCATTTAGAGCCTACATTACATTTTAGCGTTTCATTCTGAGCAGAAGACCCTCACACCTGAAGAAGGCTTGCGTTTTCTCTCTTACCTTTTAAGCATGTGTACAATGCTGTAATACAATTTAAAATAATTAAAACTTTAAACAATATCAACTAAACTCCATTAATATAAGAATCGAGTTGTATTAAATAAATACAGCTTTTTAGTATAGATTACAATTTTCTAAAATGTATTTCAAAATAAAAACGGTTACAATCTAATCTTTCCACATTTGATCCCAAAATCCCAAGAAAAATAAATCTAAATGGGGAGAAAGCTATGTTGAAAGTTTATTAAGATACTTAGAAGACAAAGATAACAATTTATGTTGCATTTGTCTGATTGTGAATCAAAAAATACATTTAATTAAACACGCATTTGCGATTTAAATCAAAATGGGGGTAACGGGGACTCTCTCTCTTATTATCAACACTAGTTCAATTGTGTCTCTTCTCAGATAATGTAGTTCAGCATTCAGGTAGATTGCCAGGCAAAATAAAAACAGGTTTCGATAGTTAATAACCACTTTTTATACACAAAACACGAGTGATTATTCTTCCTCCTGATCAGTTTAGAAATCTGTGTACGCTGTAAGGCTTTTACTTCTAAATTAAACTTAAAATACGCGTTTTGAATAGAAGCAACATATGTTGTTGTCTTCCTGATGAGTAAAACAGATCAGCAGGTCTTTTATCCCCAATTAGAGGGGTGTCAGATGGTGTCAGCCAATCACCATTCTGAAGCAGTACCATAATCTCTAGTACAGATGCAGCCATTCAAAATGGGTGAGGTATTTCGCGGCATAC